ACGTCGAAGTCTACCTAGGTGGAGCGACCTGATAGAGCCATCACACAGAACCCCCTCTTAAGAATGGCATGAGGAGCTTCACTCTTGAGGTACTTAGCCGGATCGCAGAACCTCTTGATGGTCACATCCCTAATAAGGTAGATGTCCTCGGGGTACTTGCTCCACCTCTCCTCAAGTAGATGAATTCGCTCTTGGGCCCCGAAAATAAAGATGGCGAGGTCCTACAGAAGGCTGCAATCATTTGAACTCTTCCGACTTGAGAAGCAAATTGGATCGACGCTTACAAGCTCATCGAATTAGCCATTCCAGGCCAAAAGGAGCAACCTACTCCCTCCAATGACATCGTGACATGTTGCGTCTCGGAACAACTGGGTGACACCCGGAACCACTTAGCCAAGATGATGGTGTCCCGAACTGGCGATCTGGCACATGCACCGAATTGGTGACCTGGCACTAACGCCGACCTGGCGACCAACCTTTATGCCGAACTAGCAACCTCGATCACAACTCAGGTCGGCTAGAAGCACCTCGTGCAGGGCTGGCCTGCAGCACCTCGTCACTGGCCGAAGTGACCTTGACGCAAGGAGCGACCTCCCTTGAGGGCGTGCCAGCCTAACTGAGGTCCAGGTGGTGACCTGCGAGATGTGCTTACCGACAAATTCGGCACGCATATCCCAACACTCCCACGATCCTTGGAAGTTGGCCCACGTATTCAATGTGCATGGTAGTTGCCTCCGAGAATCTCGAACCACTTAGACGACCTCGCAGAAATCTTGGATACGGTGCGTAAAGCCCACGCCAAACAATGCCTATATAAAGGCACCAACCCCAATGGCATGGGGAGGCAAGTAAGCATATTCTAGCTCTCATACTTTATGATTTTTTAGCACGCAGTCTACTATGAGAGTACTGACTTAAGCATCGGAGCGACCTCGCCGGGTTAGCCACCCCGGGTCCTTTGACATTGATTCCTTGCAGGTCTCTAAAGAATTATGAAGCTCAACAATCAATCCAGTTCGCCACTAGTCAGCACGACACCTAGTCCACTCCCAGCTCGGCATCCAGGTCCTCACCTAGCAAAATTCTCCACTTCGGCCTCTGAGTCATCGTCCACTTGGAAGCAGACCGAATGACGAGGTACTTAGCACAAAAAATTGATTCATCAGATTTCGAAGAAGAAGAAGAAGAGAGGAGAGAGATCCATCTTGGCCGGAGTAATACAGGTCGGATCTTCAGAGTTCAACCGCCGAACAGCAGAGGGTTTGAAGGAGGGAGTGACGAGATAGAGGAGAAAGACATTTGGAAACTTGAATCGGGGGTTTGAGGGGTTTTTCTATCATTTTCTTTTTTATTGATTTAACTGGCTGGAATATTGAGTGTACTCCTTTCAAACTACTGATGTATAGAATGCAAAACCTTGTATTTTGTAAGCCAGATTTCCAAATTATATTCAATCACTTTAGAAATGCAAAAAGCTTCAGCCTGCATGGGTGAACTTACATTAATGGGACCGAATTCAGCAGCCAAAACATCTCAATGACTACTTAAAACAACACCAAAGCCAACTTCATGTGGGGCTTTAAAACTTCCATCCTCATTTACGCTATGTTTGGTTTGAAGGAAAAAAGTAGGAAAACGATGGAAAGGTAAGTAAACAGTTACAAACCCTTATAAAGGTTTTCCTACCTTTTCCCTTTAAACCAAACATAACCTTAGTTTAAGCGTATTTTAGTGGGGGATCGACCGATGTTGGCAAAAAACATGGAACCACATTTTCTCATTGTCTTTGAAAGAATTGTTTCATCTCCTGTCAATCACAAATCATTAAACAAAAAAAAAAGGGTTAAGGCATTATTGGCAACAACATACAAGCTGAGCATGGTCAGAAAAAAAAAGAAAAAAAAGAAAAAAGTAGAGCATGTAAAATTGAATTCACTTTCGTTATAATATATAGAACATAGAGGGGAGGGAACAATCAATGTGCCACACCTGTCCCGTCCTTGCATCATTGTAGCCTTATAAGGGATAGTGTGCTTATTTAATGTGCTCACTATTGTGTTTTGGGTTAATTAATATAAATTGGTGAGAAACATATGTTGGCATGTGTAGTGTGCAAATCGGGTGGGCTAGGCCAGGTTTTAGCTCAACCTCAGGCCCAATCCTAATAGTTGGGCCTAAAGCCTAAGCTCTACTTTAGCTTGAGGTCAAGCCCAAACTATTCAACATAAGCCCAGCCCCTGCACTAAAATTTTATGCACTCAAATTGGTTGATCAGCCCATATAAACATGTGCGTATGCAAATATGTGTCTATATATGTATATATCCATGTATATAATCAGGTCGGGTTTGGATTGAGATAAGGTCAGAAACGGGTTTAAATTTTTAAATGCAAGGCCCAAACCCAACATAAAAAATTAAAAAACCCTGAACTTTTGGGCCTAGCCCAGAGACACGATGAATCTAATCCCAGCCCATGTAAAGTTGTGGGCTAGGTCAATCCATGCTCGAGTTGAGGCTGTTGGGCACACCCAAGTTGCACCCCGTCATTTCAACTAAAAAAATGCATGTTTGGAATTGATCATAGGCATTCATGGTTAAAACTCAAATTTAACGTTTGAGGTATAATCAACCATTTATATCGATCAACCCCAAAACGATTATAGGTTTAAAAATACCCCTCACAATTTGTTCTTCTTCATGTGGTTGCATACATAAGGGGGTGGTCCATCTCCATGCCCATAACTCTCATCCCCAATGGCAGTTGGATTTGATAGCAACTCTCTACTTTAAAGAAGTTACCAACCGAGCCACCATCATTTGGTTATCAACCCCCCCTGCTAAAAAAAAAGAAAAAGAAAACAATATCTAGTGCTCGCCATGCCATATGCAACGGGCTATGTGATCAATCATGAGTGAATACACCAATGTTCCATACACATGGATGGAGGCCTATACTGGCGCACACACTCAATATTCTCACTCGCTTTTTGTTTTGCCGAGTGCGAGATTCCTCGATCCCTTTTGGTGGCCTATCCAAGTTAATGACATCTAAGTTTGATCCTCCCCTCACGGTGGAGGAAGTATCCTCTTTCTCTCCGTGAAGTAAGTGTTGGGAGAGGAATCGTGGTGGATGAAAGTGGAAGGAAGGAAGGAAAATATCCAATAGGAGGCATTATAGATTGAAGATAAAGTCATAGAGGAAATATGGAGTAACTCTTCAGCATGTTTGGGGAACCAACTAGTAAGTCATTCTTGGATTTTATGAATCAAATTCCCTTTATTTTAGTTTGACTCTATCTATTTGTTTGGAAAAATCTTGCTTATGAAATTTAGTAAGTTGTTGTCATCAGCTTACTTTCGGTCTGTTCAAGGTATCCAAGACTTTTGAGGAAGGTAACTTAGAAGTTCATTCATTATTTTATTTTATTTTTTATGCCAAAAGTCCATTCATCTCTTAAAATTTCGATCTTACAAATATAAATATGTAGAATACAAAATAAAATTTATTTTCGTACTCTTCCCAAATTGAGCCTAAACATATTCCAATAGATCAATTGTAAATTAGTCTATTTATAGCTTTGTTGTGGTATTTTGTTATTTTGTATTTTCTTTTTATAAATGGTCATTATTTTGATAGTGAGATTCTCTTATGTGTCTTTTAAACTCGTGGAATAAAACAACAAGGGTAATCAACAAGAAAGTTCATTTGCCAATTTTATTCGTTTGTCCATTAGATCTAGTATGGATTCATTTTATAGTTTTATTCCTTTTAACCAATAACAAACTATAAAAGGGTATATCTCTTAAAGTACTCCTAAATTTCAAGAAATCGATTTACTAGTTGATACTGTTTAGAAATTGTCTTAAAGCACCCAAATTTTTTGACAATTGACTAAATCCCCGGTTGCCATTAGAGTCTGTAGTCTATTAATGGAAAAATGAAAAAGACTATTGTACTCATCATTCATCTTTAATTTTTCAAAATGTAAATTTGAATAAACATGCAACACTTGAATAACTCCTTGCTTGTCTTCTCCTCGTGACAAATTTTCTCCACTGGCAAATATTTCCAATGGATAGAGATGTCCAATAAAACTGTTTGCAACCCAAAACTATAAGAAATCATCTTCCTTCTCTATTGCTACAAAGACCTCAACATGTGAACATGAAGGATTATCTCCCACCCAAAAATTGGATTTTAAAAGTGTCATCTTAGATTTAGCTAGCTCCATGTATATTGTGTTATTGAACTTCAATCTTGTAAAGGTTTAATTGTGTTTTTATTGACAAGGTGGTTTGAGTTTTATTTTGAAATTTTGAAGAATAGTGGAGTAAAATCGACCACAAAAGGGTGATATTAGGTTTTTAAAAAGTCTATACATCATATAGTATCAAATAGATTGTGACTTAGGGGTGAGCAAAACAACCAAAAAATCGAACTGATCAAAACGGAACCGAAAAATCGGTTAATCAAACTGGTCGGTTTGATGTTTTAAAAAAACCAAAGGTATCGATTTGGTTTCGGTTAACCAATATAGAAAACCGACGGTTAATCGAACCAACCGATATACATATATTTTTATATATTATATATCTTTAATATTTGTATATATTATAAATTAATAAATATGCATTATATATAAATATATATTTATAATATATGATATATTATTTAAAATAGAATATTATATATTTATATATATTGTAAAAATAAAAAAACCAAAAAACCGACGAACTGAACTGCTGGTTGACCGAACCGGTCAATCAATTAATCGATTGGTTTCAGTTAGGTTTTGATTATTAGTTATCTTAGTACCGGTTCGATTAAAAAAAAGGCCCTCCGTTCGATTAGCACCCCTATAAATGTGATTTAATGTTAAGAAAGGGGAGCATTTAGTCAATTGTCAAAAAAATTGAACATTTTAAAGACAATATCTAAACTATAGGGTAGAGTAAATCAATTTCTTAAAATTTAGAACCCAGAAAAATAATACAAAATCCACGTGAATTTGATACGAGTTCATTGGTTAGCAGTTGGATGATACCAGTTTCAGTTTTAGGGTCGGTGTTCGACATTTCGACTCGAAGTCGAATTGACAACTACTTCGTCGTCTGATGACCAAAGATGATATCTTCCTTTCTTGCCTTGCCATCTCTCTGTGGCTCAAAAGGGCTTTATAGACAGATACCCTAGATCAAAATCGAAAATTAATCGGATTGGTTCCTTTTTCTGGAAAAAAAAAGAGGTTTAGGGTTTCGATATATTTGTACGTGAATTAGTTGATAGAGGTTGTGAGATTTTGCAGGAAGTTTTGATTTTTCCCCTTGTGTGGAAGGTTTTGTGTTAGGGTTTTGTAAGAATAGATGGCGGTATCAGGAGGAGAAGAAGAAGCTGAGTATGAGAGTGATCCAGAGGAGTCGATGCCTCTAGGTATGCGGAGAAGGGAAGCGAGTGATGATGACGGAGATGGGGAGGACAGAGAAAAGCCGCCGAGGGCTGATCCGAGAACTGTCGTTTGTTCGGATGCTGAATCTGATGGTCAGGGTGGGGCACCGGCGTATGATGAGGAAGAATCGGAGCTAGAGGAAGAGGAGGAAGAGGAGGAAGAGATGGAAGAAGAAGAGGAAGTTGAAGAAATAGAAGAGGAGGAAGAAGAGGAATATGAAGAGAGACGGAGGAAAGGCGGGCATGATGCCGGTGAGCTCGACGCTGCGGCTGCAGTGGCTGACTCTGGTGTGGAGGGGCGAAGATCGGGCACAGAACCTTTGGGGTTTCGGGGTAAGAATCAGCCGGAAGAGGAGAAGAAGGAGAATGAGCCATTTGCTGTTCCTACAGCCGGTGCTTTTTACATGCATGATGACCGGTTTAGAGACAATGGTGGCGGTCGACACAGGTAAGAACTTCATGCTTTGGAACGCAAAAAATAAGGTGGCTGACTGGCTGCTTTTCCAGTTCCATGAAGTATATGCCATGCTATAGTTGCAACACAAATAACATGATAGATTAATGGTAGCATATTGACATACATAACCAAGAGGTCATAAGTTCGAATTTATACAAAAAATTGTGCATTATGGATGACAGAATAAGAAAATAAAGGGAACGAGAATGTTGGACTGCGTAAATTTCCATGCTTAGTGTCGTACTGTTCAATAGGATTCTTGAACTTTTATCTGCTGACGTTTTTCCTCCAAAACAAGTATTTTGAAACTTAAAATTGTGGCCTTGGGTGTGATACTACATTCAAGGATATATTGAGAGGTTTGTTTGTTATTGAACATACGGGGTTCTCTTCAATTTGAGGTGCAATCTGCAGTCTTTAGTCTACTGGTTGTTACATATTTGCGACAATTTTGTGTTGTATTCAAAAGAATATAGCTTTTTTTTTTTTATTTCAGCCGTTTGTGTAATGGTCTTATGGTCTCATAACTGGTCCTCATGCCCCACGTACTTCTAGGTTTGCTGTTGATTGGTGGTTTGTTGGTTAATGTTTGAAATTTTATTTTGGATAGTCAAAATTATTTGCTGCCTTGTTGGACCAATTTGAATATGCTGCCAAGTGGAGCCACTTCTTTGGCTCTTTAATTGCCTACAGCCTACTGAATGACATTTTTTTTGGTAGAGACTAGAGAGACATTGCTTGTTTTCCTGGACAAATATCAAGGGTTTGACAAAATTTGAGCAAACATTGTATACTACACCTTCTGCTAAAACATGTGAATTGCTTGTTTTCCTGAACTTCAAAAGCTAATGTCATGTTTTTCTCTTTGGATCTTTAACCAAAATGATTTCATTTATTGGTTGAATATTTTATGTGGTCATGAGACATAGTCAACTGTGTACTAAATAAACCAATGACCATTACTTGGTAAAGCTTATAAGCACCCTGATTGATCGACAATTGAGCCATAAAATAGATAGACCTCCCTAATACAAAATAATCTTTAGTTTTGGGATCAGTGTTATATCATTTCAAGAAAAGATTCCTGAAAAGGTTGGCATTGCCAAATGTAATAACAATATCTGTGTCTTGCTACCTATGGAAGTTCAGAAAATGGAGGTGTTTTTGATAATTAGAAGATGAAGGTTGTGTGTTTAAAAGTTTAACAAATATGAAGAAAGGGACACTTCTACAACAAATAGCCGTTGGATGATTCTCATTAAGAGGGAATCAATATTCCAGCCTTTCCTTGGTGGATGAGAGTTTCAGAAAAGGATGTAGAAGGGGTGGAGATGTGGGTGGGGGGAGGCGCGGGGGATAATGAGAAACATCTGATTGATTTTATGAAGAAAAAAGTTTCTGTTGATGTCGAAAAGGATGGCCCCGTTGGAGTTGCAGTTGACATGTCTATCTGTGAAGACGAGCTTTCAGCTGACATTCCAGCTTTTTTTGAGGAAAGATGTGAAGTTAATGAGGTTGGATTGGATCCTAAGAAGTCTTGGGCTTCTAGCAAGATGCACATTGTCCATGTAGCTGAAGCTTGGATTAGTTGGAGCTGGTCCCACAAAAAATTTAAAGGTCTACAAGAGAAAGGGTGGGAAGACGAAGGTGTCGGAGTCAGTTGATACTGGTAGGGGAGAACAAATTAGTCTTTCAAATTTGGAACCCCAGCTTGTCAATGCTCAACAGGAAATCAAGAAATTTGGGGAAGGGATAGAAGCTGATTTGAGAACAGCTGGTGTGACTTCTGTAGAAAATTTGGAGAAGGGAGGTGGATTAAACATTGAGAAAATTACTGAGAAGAATGTTGAAGTTGGAAAAAAACTTGGTCTTTTCCTTTTGGGAGGTGAGGCTTTTGTTAGGAGAGCCTTTGAAGATTTTGAGAGAAGAAGAAGGGAGGAGAGTTTGAAGAAAGTCATCATGGGGGAAGGATAGACTTGGAATGAAGAGGACGATGGGAGGTCAGATGTGCATGAGGAAGAGGATTAGTGGAGGCTGGAACCTATATTTTCTCCCATTTTTGTTGTTTTGCCTTTATCATGGGGTTAGGGTTGAAGGGGGTGGTGGATGTTTGGTTTTGAGGGAAGTCCTTTTTTTGTGTGTTTTTTTAGGTTGTTCCGTTTTGAGTGTTGTTTAGGGTGGTCACCTAGTGTCTTGTTGGTGAGTGGTGACTGCTTGTCACCTCTCTTATGTATGCTTTTTCCTTTTTAATAAATTTTCTTTTATCATCAATTTTTTTATTGGACAAAATTGCCTATTTCTTCCATCATCTACAATCCATAAATCCCTTATAAGGCTGTTTTTGGAATGCGGCAAGTGTGGAAAATGGAGTAGAATCTGTAATTTGGTGGAAAATGGAACGAATAGCCTTCCTTGTTGCTATCATCCCCTCCTTATAAGGGGATGATGATGGAATAAATGATGGAATTTTCAATAGAAAGCCGAGGTCACTAAATGATGGAATTTTCAAAATGCTGGCAAGACTTGAACCCCTGACTTTTTATTCTGTGTTTAGGAAATTGGATTGGACCAGCTGGTCAGACTAGCTGAACTGTGACCTTTTATTTATGTACAATATCTTATTACCATTAAGACATTCGTTTATTTGTGCTTCTTTATGCCTCTTTAATGTATATATTGCTTTAGTACTTATATATTTTAAAAGAAAATACGAGTTAAAGAGGCTTGAACCCTGGCCATTTGCTTTAAAATATAAAGAACTAGCCATCTACCCTCAACATTCAACTATTGAAGTGTGCTATTATTTGTAAACTATATTATATATAGTATTTAACAACCACTTCATCATGGTTTGACCTCCGATTTGACCATGGTTGAACCTTTGACTCGTGAACCTCTCCTTTTCCTGTTCTATGCCCAATCCGGTTCTCTAAACATTGTGGAATTCCATAAATTTTGCTTTTGGGAGCTGAATGGCAGTGGGTTTTGGAATCCTATTTTGTTCTGTCTTTTTGTTTCTGCCTCATTCTAAACATGGCCTTAGAATTTAATGTCCAAACATACTCACTTTTTCTGCAAATTGGACTTGACTAAAAACTTATAGATCTCGTCAAACCAAATCTAATGACAATGTAAGAGAATATTTTCACCAACCGGTTAAAATCAATGAACTTATTTATTTATTTCTTTTCTGATGACTTGTGAAAAGGACCCAATAGGCTAAACTTTCACCAAACTTAAATTTCAATCCTGCAACTCATTGTCATATTTTCACAACTTTCACTGAGCATGTTCAAATGCACAAGTTGGGAAGCTAATCACCTAAGCTTTCTATTGGAGCCAAATCATGTGGTGTTGGATACTTCTGATGTGATAGTGGATTAAGAAGATTTGTGCTGCTGAAAAAACCACAGGCTTAAGATTATTATTAGATTTGTGATTTTATACAACTTTGGTTTAGCAATATATGGTGCTTTGTATTTTCTCCTGTTTACCATCATTGTCCTTTTTGAATTCCATATTTGGATTTCTGTAGTATGAATTATTTTAACAAGATTTTGCTGTGTTCTATGCAGGCGAACTCCTGGTGGGCGGAAGCTGTGGGAATCAAAGGATGACCAGAAGTGGGGGCATGACAAGTTTGAAGAGATGACTATGCAGGAAGCGCATTATGAAGAGGTAAACATTTTTTCTATTTTTCCTTCTGCTTTTGATGACTCCCCTGCCAACCTCCTCGCGCAAAACAAAAAGTACAGTTTGTCTTTTATTGGTGGTGGAGATTGGAGAAAATATCAATTTTGTAAACCACTTTTACCTAAAGTTTCACACTGGAGTCCATTTTGTAAAATTTAAGCTTTTTCGAGCAGTGTTTTAAAAACCAAACTGAGCGTTGACCTGGAAAGCTAGCTGGGTGGTGGGTTTGGTGGTTCGATCAAGTAGTTAGTAGTGTTTAAAAGTGGCAAGTGCAGGGGCCTTTCTAGTTTTTGAGGTGTGCAACTGGTGCAACAACCTTTGAAAAAAAGTAAAATAAAAACTTGGCATACAAACAAAAATATGTATATCTGGGTTCTAAATCAACTAACAAGCACATAAAAGCCTCCATATGTTAATCCATAATCATATTTCATAAATTAATTGATAAACTTGGTCATGGACACGCTGAGCAGTTGCAAGGCAAGGGTGGACAGGGATAACTTTTACTGGGGGTTACAATGTAACTGGATTTTCTTCCCAGCCTGAAAAGGGGCTATTTTGCCACTCTGCTGGCCTAACTAATATGCTCTATGCGTTGTATATATCATTCTTTTATCACATCTAATAGACCTCAAAGTTATCAATAAAAAATAATATTCAATACCTACAAACTGGGGTTGAAAGCACCGATGGGGATCACTCAGCTGTTGAAAGCACTGCTTCAGAGTTTTTTTCCCTCCATTTAGACTGTGGAAGGTGATTTGTTCTATAATATCTATTTGCCAAGGGGTGTTTGTGCATGGTAATCATATCCAGAATGGTGTCCTTATAGCCAATGAGCTTATGATTTAAGAAGAAGAAGTGGCAAGAAGGGCCTTGTGTGCAAGATCAATTTGGAAAACGCATATGACCATTTTAACTGGGAGTTTTTGGACTATGTACTGGATAGAATGCATTTTGGTCAGAAATGGAGGAACTGATTAAAGTTTGTACTGCTTTCTGAGATTCTCTATTCTCATCAATGGACCTGCAAAAGGAAATTTTAGAAGCTCAAGGGGTCCAAGACAACGTGATCCATCCCTTGTCACCTGACTCACCTCCATTATTCCTTATTGTTATGGAGGGACTTAGCAGAATGACAGCAAGAGCTACTTAAGGAGACTGCTTAGAAAGGTTTGAAGTGAACAACAATGGGTCCTTTCTTCTCCTACAGTCCACAGATGACACATTGTTCTTTTGTGAGGCCAAGTTGGAACAACTTATCCATCTAAGATATATCTATTCTAGTTCGAGGTTGTGTGGTTTGAAGGTCAACTTGGCAAAGAGTGAGATGATGGCAGCGGGTGAGATCGGAAATTTGCAGGAGCTGGCTGTGGTTCTTGGTTGCAAAACTGGACATATTCCTTCCAAATATTTTGACCTACCCCTAGGAGCTAAATGCACTTTCCTATTTTGGAGAGGTTACATAGGGAATTAGCCCTGCAGAAGGCCTGCGATTTCTCTAAACGAGGCAAATTGATACTTACCAGAAGTGTTCTTGCCTGTCTTCCATTATATTATGTCTCTCTTTCCAATTCCTATGGGGGTGGCAGAGAAAATTGTGAAATCCATGCATGATTTCTTTTGGACTGGATGGAAGGACTTGGAAGAAATTCCACCTTGCAAGCTGGAACAGATCTGCAAACCTATCTCTTGTGGTGGACTGCGAATTAGAAGGTTTAATTATAGCACCCCTGGGAGGTGGCTATGGCGTTCTGTTGCAGAATCATATGACTTGTGGAGTAGGGATCACTGAAAAGTATTGAGTTTGCTAATGGATGAAGGTTCTTGGTTACCTTATGGATTCTGGTGCAATGTTTTAAGAGGTGTGGGAGGTGCACACCTGGAGGCATGCCTCCAAGAGAGGCGCCCCCAAAACGGTGTCATGCCTCTGTGTTTTAAAACATTGCTGTGGTGTTGGGGGGGGGTATTTCTCTTATCTGGGCTCCCTCACTTGGAAGAAACTTAAATGATTGGGAGATGCAGCAAGTGACAGAGCTTCTAGCCTTGATCCAAAGTGCAAGCCCAAGACTCCAGAAGATGGAGATGGACTAAGTCTGGTCTCTTTACAGTTAGATCTTTCTATCAGGGACTGTTAGGAGAAAGGACTGCTCTCCTTCCTTCATAAGGCCATTTGGAGTACAGTAGCACCTTCAAAGGTTTTTGCTTGGTTGGTTGTGTGGGAGTAGGGGTGGCAAATGGGTGGGTTGGGTTGGGTGAGGGTTGAGTACCAACACACCCATATTGACCCACTAACCCATTTGCCACCCATGTTATCTGAGCTCCCTCACTTAGAAGAAACTTAAATAATTGGGAGATGCAGCAAGTGACAGAGCTTCTAGCCTTGATCCAAAGTGCAAGCCCAAGACTCCAGAAGATGGAGATGGACCAAGTCTGGTCTCTTTACAGTTGGATCTTTCTATCAGGGACTGTTAGGAGAAAAGACTGCTCTCCTTCCTTCATAAGGCTATTTGGAGTACAGTAGCACCTTCAAAGGTTTTTGCTTGGTTGGTTGTGTGGGAGAAGGGGTGGCAAATGGGTGGGTTGGGTTGGGTGAGGGTTGATTTCCAACACACCCATGTTGACCCACTAACCCATTTGCCACCCATGTTAGTGGGTCACAATCCACTTTGACCCTGACCCACCCTAACCCCACCCATTTGACCCTTTGATTCAAAGTAGACCTTTTTTTATTTTTTATTCTAATTGCATAAAAACAGACCCATATGTTTCAACTCAAAAACATAAAAAAATCAAATTTTTTCGAATAAAAAATTAAAACCATTAAAACCCAAAAATGGTAAAAAAATACATTTCGTGTAAAACATCATAAATTGCAAAAAAAAAAAGAAGCAATAAAAAATTTAAATAAAAGCATAAAATCGAAATTGTAAAAAACATAGAAAATTATACAAAAAATATAGAAAAATTACAAGAAATTGCAGGAAAATTCAGAATGAAAAAATGAAAAGAATACAAAAATTAAAGAAAATGGAAATTGCATAAAAAACAAGAAAAAATGCAGAAATAGTAGAAAATACAATAAATGATTAAAATTGCAAAAACACATAAATTATAAAAAAATTAAAACATATATTTCAGCCAAAAGTAAAAATTGCATAAAATACATAAAAAATGAGAAATTCAAAAAGTATATATTTTGGCTAATGCCAAGAAATACAGAAAATGGTAAAATTATATATATATATGTATGTGTGTGTGTGTGTGTGTATATATATATATATAACAAAAAAATAAAAATAGTATAAATACATTAAATGACAAAAATGCATAAAACACATAAAATGATAAAAAATTCAAAAAATATATTTCAACCAAAAGTAAGGAAATGGAAAATTTTGGGAAAAATGCTCAAATACATAAATTAACAGAATGTTGTAGAAAATTATAGAAAATGCAAAAAAAATACAAAAAGAAAATAAGATACAGAATTTTTTGCACAAAAGATTATAGGAAAATGTAGATAATCCAAAATTTGGAGGAGGACATTCTTCGATTTTGTAAGTAAAAAGCCACTGTCTTAAGCCCTCGATTTACAAAGAATGCAAAAAAATTTGGAGCTTGAAGATGATGACGTTTCAGTTCTTGCTCCACCTCTTCTCCGACGTAAAGAATCATGCGTCTAAGGACAACGACGACAATGACATAGTAGTTGTAGATCGGGAAATTTGGAGCTTCAATCCATTCTCAAAAGTCAAACCATCAACATTTTTCAAAAGCGGCGGAGGAAGTGATGCTGTGGTTCTCGTTAGATCCAAGAGCAATAGTTGGATATCTGTAGCTTGATTAGCTATCCAATGGGGCTTCTCCAGCGGTGATGGCTGTGAACTTGATTTTCAACTTGGAAATCTGCCACTTGTTAGCGGAAGTAGACGGTGGCAGCTGCTGTGATGAAGAAATGGAGGTAGAGAGGTGGAGACAGAGAGGGTGAAGTTGGTGGGGAGATGAAGAAATAGAGGTAGAGAGGTGGAGATGGAGAGGGTGGAGGTGGAGAGGTTGAGGTAAAGGGTTACTCGATTCTCTCATTTTCAAACCCTAACCCAACCCTTGGGTACCCATGAGGCCATGGCCCACCCTGACCCAACCCTTTTTACTTGACCCAATGGGTGACTTGACCCATATTGATCCACTACTCAAATGGGTGGATTTTAAGGGGGGTGGGTTGGGTGGGTCAGATGGGTTGCAGTCAAAATTGCCAGCCCTATGTGGGAGAGATGTCTAAGGATATGTTAGCCAGGAAGGGTGTGAACCTGCCTGACCTCCTCCTTTCTATGTGCAACAAAGAGACTAAAGCAGCATCTCATATTTTCCTCGTTTTTCACTTTCTCATCCAGAATCTGGCGTCATTTTTGCAAGGTTGTTCGTTCCCCTTTACTGGTGCTGTCCTGTTTTGTTAGGGCACTAATAGCTGGATGACAAGTGCCGGGAATGACCAAAAGAGGAAAGTGTTTCTGGCATCTGTCCCCATAGCAGTTCTTTGGGTCATTTGGTTAGAAAGAAATTCTAGAGTTTCTGAACAGAAATTGAATCTGGAGGAGGCTGTCATATACTCTGCTGTAGAAATGATAAGAAGTTGGGTTTCCACTCTTAGTTGTTTTAAAGGGGAAGTTATCTCATCCTCTTCTTGGAAGTTTTTTTTTTTTGTGGGTTCTTAAGGATTGTCTATATGAATAGCTGATAAAAAAAGGATTGTCTATATGAATAGAAATTCTTTGCACAAAAAGATCATGCATACGCTTTGATACTTTATACAAATAAACCTTACCTTTTCAGAAAAAGTTATCGATATTTCAGCTCAAATAATTTACACAAATTTCACTTCAAAGGTTCATAGAACCACAAGCCATCATTATGAATCTCATCTTAGTAATGCATGTTGAAATAAACTCCTAATGCTTTTTTTTGTTCATTCTTAGGAAAGGAGGACATTGAAAGGCCGTAATCGAGGTCGTGGTAGGAACAGGGCTATGGACCGTGGGTACACGAGAAGGAACAGATCCAGAGCCTATGAAAATGATAACAATCACAACCATACTGCAAGGAGTGTGAGAGGTAGAGGGCCTAGAAGGTATGAGCCTCCTCCAAAGAACAGCAGTGAGGTCCTGCCAACACAAAATAAACAGTGAGTAAATTTTGAGTCTGCTATTAGTTCTCTCTCTCTCTCTCTTCTTCTTCTTCTTCTTCTTTTGTCATTTGTATTTCATTATTTAAATGGCATTTTATATATGTTTTCAGATCCAGAAAATCCACTGAAACCGCCTCAAATACTAGTCCAGGAGGGAGACCATTTACGCAGGCACCAAATGTACCATTCACACAGGCACCAAATGCACAACCTGATTCAGCTCCTCCAAGGAAGAATGTTTTTGCATCAAACTTGAATTCTGCTTCACCTCCATTTTATCCTTCTAGCTCTTCCAATCAAGACATCTCTATTACACAGAAAAGGGATGTGCAATCTGGAAATACCAACAGGAGCCCTACATCTTCTGTACTGATGGATGAAAATCTTTCAGCACCACACTCCAGTGCATTGCTTTGTGGGAAGACAGTTTCTGATCCCATTGGTCAGGACCATCTTTACATCGATGAGTCCGCTCGGTCAGTTTCTGGGAAATTGGCTAATCTGCAATTACATACTTCTGGAGTTTCAACAATTAATTCAACACAACAACTGCCTCAGTCCAGAGCTCAGGGAAGAGGTATTTCTATCTCTGGACAGCTTAATTATCAGCCTACCCCATCTTTTAACCAAGTCAACAGAGTTCCTGCACAGCCACAAATCTCTTCTGTTCAGCCAAGGCCTATTCAAATCCCAGTTCAACCTTCTCTAAGATCTACTCAACAGCTTGGTCAGCGTCCAGGCAGCGGATCTCAAGCTGCTTCTCCACCTAAGGCTCCATCAAGGGACTCACCAGAACCTGGAGAAACAGAATTGTCACCAGAATCAAGTAAATTGAAGACTGCCTTGGTTGGAAAAGGGAAAAGCAGTGGTCAAGGAAGTGGAAGGGGCTCTTTTCTGTATGGTGGAGCCCAGGTTATTGGGGCTCATGGTGATCAAAGCTTTCCTGCTACCCCAGCACTTCTGCCAGGTAAAATTTCACATTATTCTGTATACCCAACACCTGTCAGTATTTATTTATTTTTGATAGGAAACAGTAACTTTCAGTAGCTTAAAAAACAGAAATATAAACTGTCACCTACAGAGACATAATGTGACCCTCGTCATAAAATAAAATTAAAAAACAGCCCAAAACAAAGACTCCCAATTTACTCTTTGCTTTGCTAGATTGTCAGATAAAGCAACTGCTGACCTCCTAGTCCATTTAACATGTGCACCCTTCTCCCTGGAGTGGCTTAATAATTCCCTTACAGGTTGTCTAACCTGTCAGATTTAACTCATACTGTTAGGCTTTGTTGTCCAGCACCCCTTCTTCATGGATCAAAACAAGTAAAAGTTAATAGGCAATGCATTTATCAGTGAAAATGCAATGACTATACTTCCTATATTGTTTTGTATTCAAGATTGGCGATTTTGCATTCATAAGGTGGTCAACTTTGGAATTTTCTACTTCCAAAATGAGTTACAACAGGCTACTGGTGTTATTGAAATGCCTAGTTGAGACCCTGTGCTGGCTTCTGCCAAAATGTGTACACATTTGTTCAAGCACCCAGCAACCAGCTCTGTGACATGAGCACTTCCAAAGTTGGGGAAAACTATGGAAAAGCTCTGCAATATTCCTGGTTTCTTTTGATAGATGTTGATTATTCATGAATGGTTAATTCTTTTTTCCTTATTTTTCTCGGGAGGGGGGCACTAACATTAAGGCTTGTAAAGCTGAAAATAATATTAACGTGAAGATAGACTAACTAAATAAAATTTTTATATAGAACAATTCACAGAATGACAAGAAACATTTTCTTTTGATAAATCAACGAAGGTTGGGAGGCAAGAAGAGTGGGGTGATAACGGAGAAAAGCTTGAAACGCGGTGGGCTGGGATAGAAGAATAAATCTTGTTTGTAAGAGGAGAGTTGGCTTTTCCTTTTAAAAAGAAGGCAATGGTAAAAAAAACTCTTTTGCGATGAAAAGAACTTTAGAAGGCGAAGAAAGGAGAAAATAAAAAGAATTACAATGACATGTACAGCTGGTTGGCAAGTTGTGATGGCTTCATGACAGTTAGATCTCTAAAATTGCCATTGTTGATGTTCAAATTAATTGATGGATTCGATTCCTCAAGTTAGTTCAGTAGGTTTGTCAACCCTCAATCAAATGCTTAGCTAAGAAAGCGGAAATCATAAATCCCTAATTGATTCTAACACTAACAATAAAGGAATGCTTTAGTGTACTAAACACACTTTGCTGCCTGGTGGAAAATCACAACTAGGCCAATGGTTGATGAGCCTTTTGTCAATTCTTTCATTTCATTATTGGTTCCATGACGTAGTTTTGAGTAAGTCTGGTCATGAAAAACTAGACTGCCTTTCAATATTTTATGTGATTATCATTATAATCTTCATCTTTGTAATCACCTTGTAATATTAGCTTTCTCAGAATTAATATTGATCGCATAAATGCAGTTATGCAATTTGGGGGTCAGCATCCTGGTGGTCTTGGAGTTCCTGCTGTTGGTATGGCGCTTCCTGGATATGTTTCACAACCACAGCTTGGTTTTGGAAATTCAGAGATGGCATGGTATATTTACTTGTTTTTTTCTCATTTACATTTTGAGATAAGTTTGTTCTCTAGGGTAACGATCTGCTGTTCTTTTAATATGATGATCTTGCTCTGTTCAAAGACAAATCGTATATTTTCTATTTCTATAGAGTGGGAAAGCTAACTTCTCATAATATAAGTGGCCGTATGACTTAGCTGTTGATGTTCACCTCTTTAGTTTTAGCACTCCCTACCAATTAAGCTGCTTGAACTGGTGATGGAATCTGTTTGCATTATCTCTAGCTGAATCCCTTAAGTACTATTTTAGGGTTTTGGTATGCATGTTACTTCTCTTAATTTTTGTATGACATTTGTTTTTAATTTATCTTTATTAAAGTTGGGGTTTTAGCTTTTATTTTGTTGCTGGGGTGGCCTGGAGGAGTCTATGTTCTGTATTTGTGTACTACAACCTGTTGTGATGCCATTTTGTTGGTTGAGGGATCTAGTTTTTGTTGGCTGGTGTCCTGGTTTGTTCTTATCTTTTTCTCCACAACTTTTTTGTTTCCTTTGTTGGATTTTGTTTCAATTTAGCTTGGCCTCTGTTTCTTGTTCTTATTTTTTATTTTTACATTCATTTCTCAGTTAAATGGTCAAATTAATAGACTGGTGTCTCTGTGACTACTGAAAGATTTCTAGGAAGATTTTTCAGCTCCTTATTATTATTAGTTGTTTGAAGAAACAGAGTATTTCACACCTGTGTCTAATGTTCTGTCAGCTGACTAATTATCACACCTAAGTCCTTTCTTCTGATATACTTTTCATTTTATGCAAAAGCGGTATTTTATTTTAGCTTCTCCTGATCTCCAGGGTGCCAGTTTTGGCGGGTGCTGCAGGAGCTCTAGGGGCTACATATTGCTCGCCCTACATTGCTGTTGATGGTGGTTATTATGCTCGTCCGTCGGGGCAAACATCTTCCATGAGTGGGTCAGGGTTAGTATCGTGCTGACATTACTTCTCTTTCCTTTTTTTCCTTGCTTCACCTCATTATTCTTGGGAACATTGGTTTGTGCTATAGACTCGGCATTATTATGAGCCTCTTTGTTAAAGAATGAAAAATAAAAAAATAGAGAAATTTAGGAAAGTAATAAAGTGGTGTTTTGTTTAGTTAGCAAAGGAAATGTAACAAAGTGGTACGTCTATTGATAAAATGATAAAAAAGCAATAGTAAATCATATTCAAATTATTCAATGATTTTATGCAGAAGATGTCCGTCAGAGTTAATATTTATCCCTTTTGCCTATTGACTTGTTTAAAAACTGTTTTTAGCCAGAAAATCCATGTAAAAAGATAATGGAAATTGTGAATTATGTTTCCAATAATTAGTTGAAAAAGAATTATAAAATCCTATTTCACATTCCCTGAAACCCCATAAAACCCATAGACTCTATTTGTTTACAGTGTAATTTCATTTGTACTAGTACAAATGTATGGGAGTGCAAATGAGAAGAATGTAAATTCTGGTTCAATTTTGCTCTGGCTTTTACTTTGATTCAGGCTTTATTTTACTTCATCTGCACAACGAACAAACAAAATGAGGTGAAAGCTAAAACAAAAGTAAACTGGGATTTTGCACTCGTGCAAATGAATTTGTATTGCAAACAAGCCAGACCATCAATATACAAGCTTGAAAACTTTTAAAATGAAATGTGAGAGAGCTAAAAAAGAGAAAAAATAATGCTTTTCTGTTATTTGTTTTTTTAGTGTAAGTTACTTGTTGAGCTCTCTAGTTTTTGGAGAGCCCCATTAATTAGGTTTCAAGGTGTTCTTGGTTATCACCTGAGGTAGGCATAAAAGCATAGAAAGAAAAACAATTGAAGAAATAAATCAATGTTCACCTGTTTCTTTAAGAAATCACAAATTTGTACTATTTTGGTGTTTCAATTTGAGCTTATTTTTGAAGCTATTTTTTTTTTTTTGAGAGAACATTGAAGATGCAAACTATTTTCTTCCTTCCTTTCTCTTCTTTTTTTGAAGGAACTCATTGGCAATTTCTGTGCAGCAAAGAAACTAGTACAAGCAAAACTAACAATGTTTGGAAGCCTTCGCAGAAACCTGGTAAGATGTTTGACCTTGCATTTCCTAATATGAATCATGAAAAGTTGAAACTAAACTTTAGATTGGTGCCAGTTTGTTACATGCAGTTTTTCTTTCTTTCTTTCTTTTTTTTTGAACTCTGGTCATTTTGTTGTATTATGAAGCCAGCTGTCTTTGAACGATTTTGTTATTTGTAGCATAGTACTTTGGACTTGATATTAAAGTATAATGGCTTTTTAATTCTTTGTAGACCTTGTAAACGATGAGTTTGGGCAACGACAAAATAAGCCTCGCAGGCAAGTTAAATGTTTTATCTTCTACAAGTACAGAAATCCTGAATGTCTATAATGATCTGTTAATGTTCCTTTTATTGTTATTGTTGCTTTATTGTTAATGCTGTTATTATAGTCATTATTGTTATTAACTTGCTAGTACTAATTTAGTATAGTGTACATTTTTCAGATACTCAGAGATGAACTTTGGCCAGTGAAAGTATATAGAAAAGATTGAGAGTATTTCAATAAGCTTCTAAAGGTGAGTGATCCTGTTTGCACTTAGTATGATTAGCTTAGTGGCATATTTTGGCTGTTGTAATATTCTTTATATAAAATGAATTTTTGATGCTGCAGGTCTTCTTCTCGGCCCTTTGTGATCTCCAGCTTTTGTTCTGGAGCACTTTGGGGAGCAATCTGTCCCAAGATATGCTAGGTAAGTTTTTTTTTTCAACATTTTGTATAAATATTTGTTGAAACTTGACATTTCATTTAAACTGGTTTGCATGGCATGTTATAATCTATGCTATATTAGGTCAAAAACTAATGGGGTGAATGGTTTATTAGAGAACTTTCACAGCCTTTTCTAGTTTGATAATCTCTTTATCTTAGTCAGACGTAACTCATTTATATTGGTGGGGTCTTGGCTTTATGGTGCTCTAATTTGTTATAAAAATTTTGATAAGTTGTGACTCCTCCAGTTTACAATTTTAGGCTGCTCAATTCTTAGAAATGTTGGCTTGGTCAAAATAACCTCAAATACATCTGCAACTATTTGCTTTTCTTTTAATTTTCTTTTTATTGTTGATCTGTTTTTTTTGAACTAGTCAGTGGTCAAACCATATAGACCATTCAATCCATGGCCCCGTGAACAAAATGGTTTGGTCCAAATGTAACAACATTTGTGTGGTAGTGGATCTGTTTTAGGAAAGACACAAATTACATAAAGAATGATGGGTGAAAGATCATAGAGTTGTGGAGTACTTCCTGTGCTCTCTCTCTCTCTCTCTCACACACACACACACACATATATTTGTTCGTGTGAAAAACACCCATCCCCACACAACGGGGGGAAGGGGACACAGCACCATCCTGACATGACAACCTCATGCCTAAGTCAAATAGTATATTCTGCATTGCCGCATATCATATGGGTAAATAGGGTGGGTTTCCTGTCCTTCTATATTATTTTGATTCTGATGTGCTATTTTGTTATATAAATTAATATGTCCATGGTGGTTGTAACAGTGCATGCTCTTCTCTTACTGTTTCAGTTTATTAACGAACACCTGCTCAGGCTGTGGTTGATTTGCGAGGAGCATTGCAGCTTGACGGGTGGCATTTCTTTCTTCAACTTTGTGGTAGGATATATGAATGCATGACAGTTTTCACTTTCCTTTTCCGAAAGCTTATTATTGTGATTAAGAGTTGAACCAGAATTCTGATTGCTTCACTTAAACGGGTTTTTCCAGGTTTTTCTTTGGCTTATTACTTTCTTGCGAAGCTTGTAAGAAACGGGGGCGAGCTTCAAGAATTATATAGTACAGAAAGAATGGGGTGAAAAATCATGAGTGAATTATGCTGCTTAATGAAGTTTGATGGCTTTTGTTCCTGCCTTCGTCTATGGTGGCGCCGTTCCCTTCTGTGATCGATCGTTTGATGGTTTTTCTTCTCCTTTCTAGTTGCTGATTGGAGATGATATTTTCCTCCTGCGGGAACTTTTATATAAGCTAGTGTAGTTGTGTAGGTTTCTGTTTTGGTGGAAGACATCTGTAACTGACTGAATTCCTGAACTCATGTTTGATTTAGTATTGAAAAATATTGTGTTGCTTTTAATCAATAGAATGTTATATGCTTTATCGTGTATCTGCTCGTCCAGTACTTAAAATTGTCTTGATTCAGTAATCAATATCCATCTTTATTTCCGGATTTTACCAAATGTTTGCTTTCTATGCTGTATGGTTTGGGCTTCACATTGAGGTCATGTTTGTTTATAATTCTGCTACACAATCACTATTGGATTAGCGTCAAATTATCAGTTCTTAGACGAGAAATCCCAGTAAAATAAGAGTTCACATCTCTGCCTCACAACGCTTCACAGCACATCCCTGCCGTGTATTGAGAATATCTCCCGATGATAGTACCAGTCCCGATGATAGATGTTCCCAATACATGGTGGGGATGTGTTGTGGGGCGGAGATGTGATCTCGTAAAAATAACTAGTTAGTAGTTGCATAAAAAAATATTTTTTTAATATCCAAACTGAACAAGTGATTATGATCACAAAATTCATCATAACTATCTGACAGCATTATAAACGCAGCCTGAGAGCCTTGACCTTGTGAGATTTCCAATCTCGAAAGTTGATTAGAGGTCCATTTTCTGTGTGCGGGGAAAAAGTACTGTTCAGTTGACCCGAATGCGTCCTCTTCCATGTGCTTGCCTGCTTGGGAGTTTGGTTTGTTCGAGCTTCCTCTGTTGCTGGTAGAAGTTTCTATATAATCTGGATTTGAAACAATTCATTGCTGAATAAGAGGAAATGGTGCACCTCTTAGGCAGCCCAGGGTTTTATATTGGAAATAGGATGGACTCCTCCCTCCCCACGGAACCATTCATAGGTGCTGGAAGAGATGAAATTTCAGTCTATTGACATGTCCGATCACCCATGGTCTTAGTTATTCTCTGAATTGTTCATTGTGACCAATGACCAATAACTCATCCATATGATACCGAAACATATTATAAAATAGCTCATCTATAGGGGCATCCCACACCACAGTGCATCACAAAATTACAAGGGGGTAAAAAAAAACATTGAAGACAGGAAAATTTCCGTTTTCCGTTTGGTTATTTGGTTGCATGTAAAAAGTAGAAGGTTGTGGAAAGTATATATACTTGCAGTTAAGGCTGTGTTTGGTTGCAGTGCATTTTTATTTGTACTAGTACAAATCAAGGTTCAAAGTATCAACATGTATCGGTCCGTATTGGCCTGTACGTATCGTTCTGGGACCCCTCCAATATGCTGCTATAGTGAGTGTATCGGGGGTCTGACCGGTTCAGGGGGTGGAGACCTAAACCGCCCCCCTGAACCAGTTTCGAAAAAATAAATAAAGTAAAAAAAGGGTACTGATTCGCCCGATATGCCCTTGCCAGCATATCGGGCGTAGCGATATTTTGAACCTTGGTACAAACGCATAGGAGTGCAAATGAAAAAAGTACAAATTCTCATTTAATTTTGTTTTGGGTTTTACTTTGTCCTGATTCATGTCTTAATTTATTTCATTTGTACTGCAATCGAACAAAATAAATTAAAATTTGAAACAAAAATAGGTCAGAATTTACACTCAAATCATTTGCACTGCCACAGTTTTGCATCAGTACAAATTTATATGCATTACAACCAAACATAGCCTAAAGTACAAATTTGCAGGAAAATGACATTCCTTCAGAACCGAGGACAGTCCTCTTTATGTCTTAATTCATATCTTACAAACGTCTGTACAAGTAAAATACCGTTTATTCACAGTTGATCGAAACTGGAAAGTTTTATCGGATTCAACCCAATCGGTTGGGGTTATGTAGAGTGTCGACCTAGGCCCAAATGACAAATCCTAAAGCATTGAATCTGGGTCTTCTTAGGAAACCCCCTCAAGCAAATTATCTATTTTTTTTTTTTTGGCATGTATAAAGGAAAATAGATAGAACCATATATGGGTACTGGCGCTAACATTTAGGGCCCAAGCCCATCCATGATAAACTTGAGGTATAGAACATCTATTTTCCTGCTTCCACCCGAGCAACGGAGCCGAAGAGCGTTTGTGTTTATCCATACTTGTATTCATTGTTTTCAAAACCGGATGGTCAGACTGGAAAGGTCAGTGAACCACTGACTCAGGCGGTCGAATAGTTTGACTTGGAAACGGTTTTTGACCGTTTTTTGAGTTTTATAAATTTTTTATTTTTTTAGAGCGGGCTGTTTGTTTGGACCAGATGGTTGGACTGTTTGACCCAGGAATCAGACCCAGAGCGGTTGCCTGTCCGGTTTAATTTTAAAAACCTTGCTTATATTCAAACTATAATAGAGAAAATTAGGAGAAAAAAAACTACTTTTATCTTCTTTTTGCGTTACAGAGTTGGTTTAATCTGTTCTTAAAAGGAAAAAGATTAAAAAAAAAGAGAGACTGGTGTTAACTTTGTTCATTGCCAAGGGTTTTAGTGTAATATTGATCAACAGCACCAGAAAATGCATGCCTTCAATTACAATGCACTCACTAATACTGACTGCATATTAAATCCAGATCTTAATCAATTATGTTAAAGCTTAATTATTTTTTAGGATTTTTAGACTGCACTCCACCTCAGAATTCAGATTTTTTATTGGTTCACGTCTCTTAAAATATATTTTTTATTTAATAAAGTGTATTTATCATTATTCTCAATCGACCATTTCTTTTGATACAGGGTGCAGCATATGTATTGTGGATTTTGCAAAGAAAAAAAAAGTATTGGGTAAATTGCATATTAGTACTCTGTACTTTTAAAATGTCTTAATTTAGCCTAAAATTGTTAACCGCCGTTAAGTGGCATGTGAAAGGATGCAAATGCCCTTCGAGTATCATCTAATTTTCTTTATCAAGCATCCAAATGCCTAAATCCAAATGTCCTCTAGATTGTTCATCATTGCTTTGATTCAATCTTGATTTATATGAAAAAAAATTATGAATAATCATATTTCAAAGGATAATTATAACATTTTCAAAAGTTTCAAGTCACATATGTCATCTCATAATACAATAGCTGACAGACTATTAACGCAGGGGGTAAATTGGAACATTTTTTGGGAATTTAGGTAGATTGGCACATTTTAAAGTTGTTGTACCGAAGTGAGATTAAAGAAATAATAATGAATTCAACATCATGCATCATGTCATGTTTCATTTGCAACGTTAACACATGAAACGGGTCGGACTTAGAGCCGACCCATCCAAATCCAAACGGATTCAAATAAAGAAACTGAATGGAATCTGAGTTCACATCCGTACCACAGAACCAGTCAGCACATTTGGGTTGGTTTTTTATTTTTTGGTTTTCAATTTTTAGGTTGGATATAATGGGAGGTGGGTTGAGTAGGGGTGGATTTGAACCCAGCTGAGCTGAATTCAGCTCGCTTAAATTGTGTTAGGTTTGAGCTTGAGTTTGGTTCAGTTCAAAGCTTGCAAGTTTAAATTCTGTTCAGCTTGAGCTTGGCTTTCTAAAAAATAAAAATTATGTATATATATTATAAAAATGTAAGAATTATAAAAATTATTTATTATTATACATATAAAAAATAAAAAATATACATACAAAAATGTTTTATTTTACATACAAAAGAATTAGAATTATAAAAATTATTTACTATTATACAAAAAATAAAAATATTATATATTTATATATGTATGTATGTATGTAATAAAAATTTATTTATTTATTATACTAGTCTCGATTAGGCTCGCTCGCGAGCCTCACAAGCCGAGATCAAGTCAAGCCAAACTCGAATAACTCGTGAGAAGTTTGGCTCATGGCCACCCCTATGGGTCGAGTAATTTTTGAATACAGATATTTAAAACCTAAACCCTTTCAAGAGAACCTAGTTTGGATCACCTGCCAACATAATATGTTCCAGCCCTCTACCAATATGATCATACACCGCACATCTTATACATGGAAACCCCACTTTTTTGATGGGTATCAGTCTCATGGTGAGACATGTGGTGTTAGATGATGTTGGTAGAGGGTTGTAACGTATTCTGTTGACAGAAGTTCTCAACTCCCTTAGATCTGTTTTTTCTCTAAATATGACAGTATGACACCAATTCTATCAAATCGGGGTCAAATAAGGAGAAAGAAGATCATCAACTGGTCAGTCTCTGAAATGGGTTGATCTTCAGGCCGACAAGATTGAGTCTATGCTGAATCTGGTCAGGTTGTCCCGACACTCAGTCTAAAGCCTATAGATGCATCACATTTTTTATTTTTAATTTCTAAATTATACACTACTAAAAATATAAAAAATAAAATAAATAAAAATGAAAATATAAACTTATCACGTGATAGCCATACTAAGTGCCATCACTTTAATCCTTGCGGAAATAAAGGGGAAAAGAAGCTTGTGGTACCTCAAAATTTCTTTTTTTAAGTACAACTCTTTGGATAGTTTATTGGTGTATAGTTTATTCAATATTTAGTACAGAAAATTCAATAAAAAAATGGTGATATTCAAATAATTTTCTTGGATACATTTGCTTTAAATTTGATTTTGAATAAATATGTAGTCCTTTGACAAATGGAGGGTGCAAGCTAGAATACAGTCATAGAGCTCAAAGTGTAAGAAAATAATTTTTATTTTCAGGTCATGCATGGGAATTCAGAAATATGGATTACAAAATGAAAAAGTTTTGGGGTTAAGGTTGCATTTGACATTCCCTTTTTTAAGGATTTATCTTTTTTTTACTGTTAAAATGCCCCTATAAACATTGAATTTTTAATTACAAAAAGAATATAAGTCCTTAAAATAAGGAATGCCAAATGCAGCCTAAAGTTCTTTTCAGGGAACTTATGGTTTTTGTGTCTTGGGAATAGAAACCAAGTTAGAAAAGTTAAAAGGTTTGCCCATCCACTCCTAGCTGAATTGGTTTTAGGGCATTTTTGTCAAGATTAGATCTGCTACCCACAAGACGCTATAACTGTACATCAGGCACAAGTATAAGGAGATATTCCTGACGTGTGTGTAACGTCATGTGGGTAGGGTGTGTGGAGCAAATCTGGATTTTTCAAACCCATGCTTGGATAAATTCTTTCATGTTGTATTAGTGGATACTGTTCATTGGCCAGATAACTTAATAGGTTGGCCCAGTCCGATCTGTTCTTAATTGGGTTTGGATAAAGTTTTAGGCCCAAGGGCTTTCTCAAATAAATCTGACCCGAGTCGATAACACTATATAATTAAAAAATATAATTTATATAATATAGAACTAGCATATTATAATATATCCATTTAGATCAGGCTCGGGCTCAGGCCTGAGAACGGCCCGATCTGGCCTGTGAACAGGTCTATCCGAACCCATTGATTAGGTGTCTCTGTTTGGCATCAATGTCATTGCTCCAGAAAATGGTGACACATCAGCGTCACGTCAGAAAAAACGGTGCTCTAGGAAACGCCTGTTTGTTTGAAACCGTTTTTTCATAAAAAATGGTGCTCCAAGCCACGCCTTAGAAATCGGGAAGGTGTGGCTTGGAGCAACACCGAATTTGGCGTTTCCTAGAGCTGCAGCTCGTTGCTGCCAACAGAGACATGAGGTGGCAGTGACAGAGACATGACGTGGCACTGGATAATAGGTACCAAAACGTTTCTTGGAGCATTGGTACTAAACAAAAAATGTTGTTGCTCCAAGAAACGTTCTACTTGGCAACAACATTTCCAACCAAAAAAAAAAGACACTATTTTCTTAGAAAATGGTGCTTCCAACTCATACATCAACAATACTATTTTCTGAGAAAACGGTGCTGTATCTGCAGCATCGATGCCAAAACTATACTAGGTCTAGCATAACACTTCACCCCTTGTGAGGAATAAAGCTGCATTAAAATACCCAAAAAAAAAGTTAAGGACTTTAAATATGATTCATTTAAGTGAAGAAAAAGAAACACATTAATCGATTAATATTGATTTATGACCTAAAGCAGAACATGAAGATTTTAGATTGATTTATGACCACACACTACTTGAAAGAGCTAATATCCAAGCTCCAGTGTTTATAATGAAATTTGAATGTATGAATGTTCTTGTTTTCATTTGTTTTTTGACATTGTCATGTCAGCAAATAGACCGACAAAACCATATTCTTTAATTTTGTTTTTCTTTTTAAAAGCAAAAACAAGTTGGTTGTGTTAAAAAAAACAAATATTATTTTTAAAACCACAAAAAAATGATAGCTTTTGAAACAAAAACAAAGTTTGCATATCATATGATTCATAGAACATTGTATGGAATAATCAGTTCAAAACATTGTGTGAAGGCCAAGGCCCAAGGGTCTCTCATCACAGATCGCACACTGTGTCTCCCTTCTCTCTTATTTTGTTTTTTAATATAAATGACACCCGGATCAGACCGGATGAGTTGAAAAACTAAACCATACAAACCAAACCAGTTATGCCAAAAAGGCGTTTTGTCCTTGATGTGTCCGATCTATATGTGATAGAAAGTGGAGTATGTGGAGGCCAAGGGTCACTCATCATAGATCACACACTGACATGGTGTTTGGAAGTGTGGGCGCTTTTTGGGACCGATTTTCAATAAAAAACGCCCATGCTTCCAAGACCTATTTTTTTATAAAAAAAATGCTTCTGCCACATAGGCAATGAGCAACACTATGCTGTTTGGTAAGGTGATTTTCATCATCGTTTTTTATGTATGTGTTGACAGGTAAGTACCACATAGGATACATATCAGTCAACCGTTGGAAAAATGGTTCACTAATGTATGCATTGGTGAGGTCCCGATTTTTTAGGCATGCCTGACTTTTTAATAATCGACTGAACCAAACAATGAGATACATGGGCGTTTGTTGAAACGCCTATGTGGATCCGACATGACACCGTTTTTTTTGAAAAACGGCCACGGTTCCAAACATCCCCTGAGTCTCCTATTCTCTCCTACACACATGTGAAATATTAAAAATTAAGAATTTCCCAAAATAAAAATAAAGCTTCTAACTTTTAAGTTAACTATTTTAATCTCCCACCATAAAGTCTCATAAATGTCAATGTACAAACATGTCTCATCATAAAAATCCTCTTATTTCTTAATTTTCTCTATTAAAACTCTATAATTATTCTTCTCTAATAAAATCATTCTTAATTCTCTATCTTCCCTTCTATCCAATGGTCAATGTTTGTAACATCTCGCCTCTCCCCATTAAATATATATTTTTATTATTAAATAGCTTTGAAAATATTTTGACCCTCTATAATAAAATACGGGTATAAATTGGATCAATTTCAATCTCTTACCCAAACACCACTACAACCATACATTCGAAAAATTTTCCGTATTTAGATGTTATCATTTATGAGGAGATGTTCTTGATATACAATTGTAGTGTCCCGTAGGTAGAAGATCCACATTCAAATTAGATGAATTGAGCGGAGTTAATATATTCGAGGTCTTTAACAACATGATTGATTTTATTGTTGAAAACAAAAACAACTACCACATCAACAAAAACAGACCCAAAACCCTAAATTTATCAACACAAACCTAACCAAATTTCTATTAAGATGGACTTACATGATAATTCAACTAAATCTAATGTGAGTGTGAGACACCAACTTATGGTATGCCATCACCTTTTCCCCATTATGAGGGCCAGAGGAATATATTACTTCTGTCTTGTTTCCCGTTGGCCCAACCATATAGAAAACTAATTAATGTCATGTTACGGTTGTGTTGGCCTCACAAAACCTGTTTATTAAATTGTTTTAGTTACAATAATTTATAACTAACTTTGCTTAAAATATGGAATTAGCAACATATCTCTCTCTTTCTCTTATACACGCAAATACCAGCAGAGTTCTTAGATTTGGACCCGATGTAAAACCAGAAAGCTCTAGGGTTACAGTTTAATCAGGTTAACCGAGAAATCTCACTGTTGGGTCACTGTCTCATCTGTTGAACCATCTGGTTTGACTCTGGTCCAACAGCACTGAACACAAGCAACGGGTTCTGCTGCCAGCAAAAAAGTGTGCTAACACATTGACAGCTCGGCATCCAGCCGCATATCTAGAATGGAATTTCCTATTCATTTTTCCTACTCACTCTCTACCTGCCGTGAATTACAGTCATACATCTCTAAAAGTCGATAAGAAAATTCATATTCCGCACCTTTTGACTTACAGCAGTAAATCAGATTGAATTGAAATCGAGGTATATCCAAATCCAATTTGATAGAAAATTCATATATTTGAATTTAAATCTATTTTGTCAGATCTTATAATCCTTGACTCAAATTCAATTCAAATTATTTTATCGGGTACCCAACAAGGATCTGATCCGATTTCAAAATAGATCATTTTTTGTGATCCAATTCGATTCGAAAATTTGATAGGGACATCCATATCCACTTACACAAGTCCTTCCCCACCCCCAAATAGGGGTGCAAATTGAATGGGCTTGGGTTAGGCTTTTGTTAAAATTTAAATGGACACACACACAGTTGACATTTCTGTAATTTAAACCCTTGGTTCAAGTCTATTCTTTCCAGCCAAGTTTACATGGAGATAGAAAGGGATAAACCCAAAAAAAAAAGATCTTTATCGACTATTGACCCGGCCGGTTGGAAAGACACAACCATAACCCAAACCGGATGAATCTGCCGGGTCATTTTACCCTTGAATGAAACAAAAAAAAATTCCCATTAAACAATTGCCACCCCGCCCAGGGCCCACCCCAACCAATGGTTGTTCTTAGCAAGAGTCACGTGATCCACACGTGCGTAACATAACTCCACTCTTTTTTTTTTTTTTTCCCAGCGTAGACTCTGTCTGTCCTCTTCTTCCCACTTATCACATGGACCAAGCTGTAGGAGATGGACAATCCAACTAAAATCTAAAAATATTCAATCCCTCCATCATTCCAACTCTCTGTTACTCTATTATCTAACCTCACACACTCAATAATTCCGGACCCATCCCTCAATTATTCTAACCATGAATGATCTCTATAATTTGACTATTCTGCCCCAAACCTGATCACAAACCAAAATCCCATCCGGTTGAACCATGCTCCACTGAAACTGGACCGAACCGGTTGGGGTAAGAAGCTTTATTCATTTATCATTTATGATGTCAACAGGCAAAATTGATTATTGATTGACAATGGTCAAATCAGTCAAACCCTGAGCTGGGGCTCTTTATGATTCAACGTCCGGTCAGGTTTTCAAGAAATTGATGAAGGCCATAGGGGTGAGGTGAGGTGAAGCCCAACCCAATTGGTTTGACCCATAAGCCTAAGCCTACTCTGACTCGCTATGATGTACTACTCAACCTAACCAGTTCCAATTAAGAAATCAGATTCAGCTCTGAGACTGTGAGACACACAAACTCTCATCAACGTCGCATCACATAAACTCATTCTCATGAACACCATGTTATGTATGCACATACATGTACATACATTCATACCCACAGCATACATACAAAACCAGGCCTCAATCTAAGTGGGTAATTTTGTAACCCAAATTTTAGGTCCATTAGGGTTGATTTTGGGTTGGCCGACCCAATGTGATGAACCACTTAAAGTGGGTAGTTTTGTAATTTTGGAATTTATAGACAGATATATTTCCATAAATGCCCCTGATGGCAGAGTATGGCACATAAGAACAAATCTAAGTGCTACATTTTGTTGTTTCTCAGTCTCACATCCATGATCATCAAAAGATACTAAATTGATTTATACATATTCCATTCCATCCATGACCATGAATACTATCTTTTTAAAGCTTTAGTCATCACATGTCACAGAGCTGGAGGTACCCCCTGGCCCCCTCTAGTAATTGTACTTCTTTTTTTTTTTTTCTTTCTTTTTCAATCACTGCTCGGAAGTAATGAACAGACTGCTTCATCGAATTGTGATATTCGTTAGGTTTACTTCGTTGGGAATTGGTCACATGGAAGAGATGTCCACTTGTAGTTGTAGCAGAGCAGAGTTACAGATTGCTAATTCCTCATGAAGTTCGTTTCTCTCTGTTTTTTTTTTTTTTTATATTCTTATTTTAAGCCTTTTTGGGTTTACTTTCTTCAGTTGGTCACAGGAGAAAATCCACTTCGACCGATCACAGTTAAGAATGCCTTTATGGGTAATTGGGTCTCTCTCTTTTTAGTTCCATCTCCACCAGTTGATCTGGAAAAACGGGTCTTTGGCTTCTTTTCTTCTTCGTGAAAACTGTTCTTCATGCCTTTCAATTGATTTTCATACTTCTGCTCAGCTTTTGAACTCTCTCTCTCTCGCTCTCATTCACTGCCGGCGGTGTGTGGCTGTGGGTGTTGTCTTTGTTTTCTCTGGGTCTGTAAGCAGTTGCTCAGATGGGGAAACTGAGATTTGGCAGGGTGTTGGACTGTCTTTGTCTTTCCCCTGCCTCAAACACATCTTGCTTCTGCATGAACTTCTTGGATACCCAAGATGATATGGAGTTCGATAGGAAGCCACTTATTGGAGGAGGCAATGGAGGCAAGTTGATGAAATTAAAAGATATCTTTGAAGAGAAGCAAACCTTGGCCTTTCAGCTGAAGCCCAAGGTAAGGAGATTCATTTCTGCATCTCTCTCACTCTCTCTGTGAGAAAAAAACATAGTTTCTGAACAAAATTTCTTTTGGTGAATTGAATGTGGTGGGGTTTAGATTTTTGATAACTTTGTGTTGATGGGTTATACAGATGGTTGTATTAAGGGTGTCCATGCATTGCAATGGCTGTGCAAGAAAAGTTGAGAAGCACATCTCCAAGATGGAAGGTATGTGACTGGTCTACCTCACTCTGAACGATTTCTCAGATGTTTCCTTGATTCATCACATCACTGCTCTGTAGGTGTAACCTCCTATAAAGTGGACTTGGAAAGCAAGAAGGTGGTTGTAATAGGGGATGTTCTTCCCTTTGAGGTGTTAGAGAGTGTGTCAAAGGTCAAGAATGCAGAGCTGTGGGAGTTCTCCTGATTGAAAGATCATACCAAAAAGAGATTCTATACTCAGTTACTATTGAGTTGGAAATAAATTTGGCGGGTTCTTATTCCTTAGGTTTTAGATGGGCAAAGTATAGATAGAAAGGCAAACATGGCTGCTGAGGATTAATCAAGATCAGCAGTTTGAAAACACAGTATATCTCTCCTTCATGTAAGCTTTGCACTGATTTCTGTGCTTCCTTTATGTGTTGTACCATCTACTAACCAATCTAGTTATTTGACTAATGCCCAATTCTGATGTATGGCATTTTCACCATTTGGCAATGAAAACAGTGAAGCTGGAATTCTAGCAATTTTCCAAACCAGAGCTGTATTAGATCAGTGGATGTTTATACATTGATAGAATCAAAGTTACAGAGGTTTGTTGAAAGATAACTCTCTCTCTCTCTCTCTAGGTTCAGTAGCCTTACGGTCCTTACCTCATCTAATGCTGCACGAGTGCTTTTCTTCCTTACATCATACACATGGAGGGCCATATCCCCTGTGAAACTTTTGAGTGCTCATGTCTTTTCTCACTACCTAAACCCACTTCCTTATCCCAACGGCTTGATGTTTCCATTCATGTTTTCTCTTCCCTTTTCTCCCTCTGTACCTTTCTGGTTCGGATTCGAAACAAATAATTAACAAAATGAATGAAATGAGATCACATCATGTCATTCATTGTATATACGTGTACGCAATCAGAACAACAAGGAAGCTGGCATATCCTTTCCATTTGCGGATGGGTACAGTTCGACTGTAATTTTTTGGGTCATGGGAGATTCACTGTAGAGACAACTGGGTTGTATGATAAAAAGAAGCAAATGGGGCCATGGCCAAATCATGTATTATCTACAAGGAATTCCTGCAACTTTGATACAGAATCCCCCAATACATTTCTCTCTAGTCTCTACTTTTTTTTTGATGATTTGATCAGGCAGATTATGGATTTAGATATCCTAAGTTAGACAGACCAATCAAATTGTCATGGTTAATAAAAACTGAGTAGAAAAAGAAGAATGCTCTTGGTGATTTTTGATCAATCAATTTAGAAAGAATTAGGCAGATTAATCTAATTAGGTTGATGAATTGCTTTTAATAGCTAATACATAAATGATTGCAGACCTACTTGAATAATTTTTATCGTCACTCTTCTGACTTTGCCAACTGGTAAGTCTGCCATGTCTATGGATAAAACAGACTTCTTTGTCTCTCATTTTTTAATGGCATCTTGGCCACTTATTCCTTCTTATGGGCTGGAGTCAATTTCTATGACCCCCCTCCCCTTTCTAAGGCCATAACCCACTAATGCTGTCTTATTACTGTTTGTTGGGGTTCCCCATCCAGGTTGCACCTTCCTTGGTATTTTGAGGTGGTGGGGTCCCCCACTCTGAGTTGTCTGGTTTTAAAATGATTTTGATTGACTGGATTGATGTGATTTTGTGGTTAATGTATTATCCAAATGTATCATGATCATCATCATTTTTTCCTCTGATTGTAAAGGGATCTGATTAAAAAGTTAAGGTCTGTTCCTTTCCCACAAAAACCCTTATTTTGGAAGCCATTAATCATCTCAGAGCGAGAGAAAACTAACCCATCTGCTCTCATGTCTTTAAGCCCTAATAAACACAAGAAAGGAGAATCCCTAAACTGAAGCAATCTAGTTGTTTTGATGACTTTATACTGTATCCAATTGATTGAGTTAAAGATTCAACAACATTATGTATTTGGAACCATTAATTTCAACTCTTGAAAGTTGAGATAAATTCAAGAACAGAATTAAGAATACGCCAATTAGTCTATTACATGCTTCCTTGTAGACCTCTCAATCCTCTGTTCAGGAAGTTTCTTTGCAGTTAAATGTGTTTATAATATAGAGCCAAGGAGACATTTTTCTCAACAACCATCACTATTTATAGAATATCCATTAGAGAAAGTAAACCACCTAAAATTTTATAAATCTGACTTCAATTAAGAACTGTTGGTTTTATTATTAAGTAATTGTTTAGTCATTGCCGATTCCAGTTCACATGGGTCGATGGGCACATGGGTTGTCCAATCTTTTATAGTTTTCTTAATCTCAAAACAATGGATGGTTAATAAATAATTTTTTTATTTTAGTTTGAAGTATTCCACCAAAAATAATAGTCTAGTTTTAAATAAGGCGGGAGAGTCGAGAGACAAAAGTGACAGACATCCATTCCTTCTGTCTCTGCCTTTCGATTCCAGTTTTAGCTGAGCAAATTAACCCAAAAATGTGATCAGGGGTTGATTGAGTCAAGCTAAGCCAGATATTTTACTATTCCAGGTTCCAGCTAGGCTTGAAATAAAAACATGAAGTTAGAGTTTGGGCTTGAAAATGGGCCAAGCTTCATAAAAACAATATATTATACATATAAAAAATATTTATATTTATAAATATAAAAATTAAAATATTATATAAAGGGTAAATTGCATATTAGTATCATATATTTTAGATCTATTCTCACTTTGGTACTTGAATTCCCAAAACATCTTAGTTTAGTACTTTTGAAAATGTTAAAATTATCCTTCAAAATATGACATTGTTCGTTATCATATTCCTCAAGAATTAAAATTGAACCAAAACAATGGTAAATTTTCCAAAGGACATTTGAATGGTTGATAAAGAAAATTAGATGACACCCAAGGAATGTTTGCATCTTTTCACATACCACTTAATAACAATTAACGCTTTTGGACTAAATTGGAACATTTTGGAAGTTTAGGCTATGTTTGGAACATTCATGGTAAATTTGCACTTTGGTTCACTTTTGACTTTGCATTCGGTAATATTACATTTATGAATTGACAAATGACAAAAAAATCACATTTTCTAATGCATATTTAAATTGATAATAAGATGTAAAAGTACATCAATAAAAAAAGAAGTAAATTTGCATTCAAGTGAGCTTTTGATAAAAAAAAAGTATATGTTTTATTGGAATTCATGTTTGCACCCATTACGATAAATTTGTTAGTGTAAAAGTAAACCAACTTTACAATTTATATAGACCGTTTTACATTCTATATATTTGCATTTACACTTATTTGCATCCTTTCCAAACACAGTACTAAATTGACATATTTTAAAATTTAGATATTAAAATCAGACTAGAATAGCTGAATTTTATTAAACTTGATCCTATACATTGGATTCTAACTCAACTTCTTTTCATGACTTAAGAAAATATTGTACGGTAAGGATAATACTAAGATTGGCTCAATTTATCTTAAGGTTGGGTTATTATGTTTATTTAAGCCGTATTTTATTTGATAGAAAAGAAGAGAGGAGGGAAAAATTAAACCAAACATAGCCTAAGGCCCTTAGCTTCCCGAATCATTACCCGTGAATACGTGACCCGCCATGCCATATTGCCATTAGGACAGATGTCTCTACTAATGCCATATTTCCATTTAGATTCTTCTTCGTCAAACCCGTAATCCTGTATCCTATAAAACCACTCTAGAGAGGACTTTTTAGTCAAAGATCCCAAAACAGCTCCAAAGCTCACAAAGACATGGCTGAAGCTTCCCTGATCTTCCTCTCTCTCACCCTTCTCTTCTGCCATTCTTCTGCAAGTTCCTCTGGTAATCCTATCCTTCTCTCGTCTTCTGCTCACGAAGAGCTAAGGAAGAACGGGTTTCCGATTGGGTTGCTCCCTACGAACGTCTTGGACTACACCCTCAACCGGACCTCCGGTGATTTCTCTGTAAATCTGGGTGATTTCTGTAAGATTACGCTCCCTCCGGACAATTATCTGGCCTCGTACTCGAAGAAGATTACAGGGAAGATCGTCGAGGGTAGAATAGCGGAGATTGACGGGATACGGGTTAGGGCTTTTTTCAAGTGGTGGTCCATCACCGGAATTCGATCGAGCGGCGAAAATTTGGTCTTTGAGGTTGGAATGGTCACGGCCAAGTACCCATCGAAGAATTTCGACGAGAGCCCACCGTGTGAGGGCCAAAGCTCGTCATCGTAACTGGTGAGCAGCAAAAGAAGAATTTCAAATGCTTATTTTCCCCCCTTTTTTAAACCGATCAAATCCTGTTCCTCAATTCTTTTCATGATGGTTCTGTTTTGGGATTTATATTTTAATAATTGTTTGATAGATGAAGTAATTTGTTGATTGCTGCAGAGGATTTTAACGGTAGTTCATTAAAAGTAAAACAGTATGATACACAGTCAAGGTTTGTTTGTCTGGTCTGATAAATTAGAGGCGTTTTCAATTAATTGTACAACCTAGAACAAGGTTAGTTGGATACATAGACGCGGTACCGCGCCGTAGATTAAATTTGCTCAATTTGTCACATGATTCTAACTTTCCTTCACGCACGAATATTGTTTTAGTTTTTGTTCGAATGGATTCCAGTCAGATTGAAAATATGGTTTGTTTATGCGTGGACCATGAATGTATTTTGTAAGCTTTTATAGAGTAAATAGTGAACTTTTGTTTGGTTTGGGCGATGATGTAGATTCTTGAGGTCTTTATCTGTAATTGTTTTTTGTTTGCTTCTGCCTTCTGGTGGGGCACTGCTTAATTAGTTTTTAATCCATCTGGGTTAAGTTACTCTGGAGTCTTTCTGGTTTGAAGTCTTTATTTACTGGTCTAGTACAATTTTGTATTTGTATCGTTCTTCTGGAGTTCCTTCAGTACTTCCTTTTTTGTGTCGCTTTGCTGTTATTAAGGACTAATAAAATAGGGTAAATTGGGTCTAGGTTGTTTGCTACAGCTTTACCAAACATGTCGTCACTATGATTCTATGAAACCGAAAAACAGCCTGTAAAATATCCTTGCTGCAGGGCTTGATTAAAAAAAATCATGGAATGGAGTCTATCCCGAAGTTTTGTAGATGAGCTCATGCATGTACAACTGCATGTTCTTAACTCTAGTGAACCTATTAAATAGCTGGAATCTTTGTTTCTGATCTTGTTTGCTTATGGCATGTTAATGTTTTTTCATGCCAATTTTCTTGAATCAGAAGGTATTGTCAATGTTGTCAGACTCCAATCCGATGGAGAACTGCTTTGATCACTACTGGGTCACTGGTTAAACAGTTCAACTGTCTAGTTCGATCCTTCAGCTTGTTCAAATAAAAAATGCAAAAGAATTAGAAGAATTAGAAAATGTTCCCAGATTATCTTTTAAAGCTATTTTACATCAACTGTCTAGTTTGGCTGCTGCTTCTGGTTCTGGTGGTCGAACCATTAGGTCTAAGTTGAGAATACTGTATGTGTATACTGGTGTAGAAAAAAAATGGAAATATGGGCTACTTTTTATTGAGTTGCATAAGCAATATGATGCAAATTTGTTAACAGGTGTCGAGTTTTAGCTTGTTGGTTGAGCTTCAAAGTTGGGGACTTTACCTGATATTTGCAGGATGTTTTAGACTTTTAGCAGAAACATGCGCTATGTAACAGACTGGAAGCTCTACCAACTTCTTACCTATCCAGTTTTTCCAGATTTTTTCGTCCCATGTTTTTTTTATTGACTAGTTTAAGGCACAAATGCATCATTCTTGTTTTCTTCCCCCCTTCAATTTTGGCTTAAAACAGGTGAATTAGATAAGATAATCACATCAAGCATCCAAAGCTGATGATTTGTTTCTTTCACTTCCTGCCTGGGTGGTGTAACTGCAGCTTTGTTTTTTTCTTTCTTGCAGGGTTTCCGCCTCTTGAGTCCATGGAGTAATTTATATGATGGTCCATGTATAACTCAAAGTACTTAGTGAACTTTACCATCAGAACAGTATTATGGTAATTTATATAGTAATATAGATATATAGTTCTGTTTTATATATTTTGTTAGGCTCTGTTTTACTTGCGCCATGCATCTCCAGTTCTCCACGTCCTCTTTTTTATGCTGTTAAGCTGTTTAGACATGGTTTCCATTGCTCGTTGTAAACTTGTAATTTAAACGGTCTTACCAAGTCGGAACATTCCTGGGTTAAGGAGAAAATGAATCAGCTGCTAACCTTGGGCGCCTTTAGGCTGTGTTTGGTTTGTACGGGTTTCCTCGACTTTCCTTTCCCTATATTTTCCTTCAAACCGAACACAGCCTTGGGGTTGAAAACCTGTTCATTGTTCCAAATTCCAATTGCTTGCAACGTGAATTTCATTTGCACTGGTGTAAAAGTGTCAGTAGAATTAATTAGTAAGCATTTTTGTTTATATTTTTTGCATCATATTTGACTGTCTTATTTGTTCGAGAAATGGAAGATGTGGTTCCCATCTTATATTATGAAAGAAAACGGAGGTAGGAGGACGATTATTTGTTTAGGAGAGAGGTAGTAAGTAACATGATGTGGTCCTTACTTTAAATGAGAGAGAATTCAGAATTGACATAGGAAGAAGGTGGCGCAAAGTTTGCATCACCTTTTGGGATTATAAAATTTGCAGTTTTGCACTGCCAGTGAGTGTAAATGAGGAAAAGGTGTAGATTTTGTACCAGGTAAGTGTGCAAGTTATTGATACAAATAAATGGATGCAAAAGTGAATCAAGTGCAAAATTTGTATTTGATTCAGATTTGTACTGCACACGGAACCAAAAGGATCCATTTACCCCTTCTCATGGCTCATCATGTGGTAGGCTTAATAACCGAAGGAAAACCCTTCTTTTTTGAGCAAACCTTAAACATTGCACTGGCGCATTCTGAATTCTGATGGGTTCAAGAGGCTTTAAGCTACATCTACACGCTGAAGATAAGGAGGCAAGGTTCAAAATATCGATACGTCGGGCGAATTGATACGTTTTTCAGAACCGATTCAGGGTGGCTGGTTTAGCGCTCCTCCACCCCCTGAACTGGTCAGACACCTGATGATACATCTCATTTCACTGAGGCTTGATATATGATTTTATGTTGTTTTTGTATGATTTTTCCCGTACCTTTCCCTTTCCATCTCATTTTATGCATGGGATGCTGGGTGTAAACATTGGTTATAAAATGGTGTTATCCTACGTTATATATAAGATTTTTTTTTTTAATTTGTCATATATCTTAATTTTTAATTTTTCTTAAAAAAAAAAATCATGTTGATCTGCAGCCCAGTAGTGGGCTGGGCCCTGGTCCACATTATGTCCATATCACTCCCAGCCTAACCTTACCATTTACCAGGATTCATAGTAAGAGAGAGAAGTAATGATTTTTGTATCCTGCATACGAAGTGCAAAAGCTGAACCAAAACCAAAGCAATTTTGTAATATGGTTCAGTTTTGCAGGCATTTGTGAAGAACACCTTTTTTCTACTAAAAGTGGTAGATTTGTTTTGTTTTTAAATATATTTACATTCAGGTCTTGTTCACTTTTCAGTAAGTTATTTATCTGGGTAAATGCAATTATTTAGATAAGTTTTTTTGGGAAATACTTATCTAGTTAAGTGCATTTACCCATGTTCTTTTATTTTTCAGGTAAATAAGGTAATGATCATTTTAGTCATAAAATCCATTATTAAAAGTGGTATTTTTATTTCATTCAAGTATTAATAATTTTCCTCTTAGATGGGAAAATTATTTACCTAGTTAGGAGATAGGTATTCTCTTGGATAAGTGATGCCCAGGAAAATAAATTTTCCCTAGTCTTTACATTAAGTTGAATAATGAATATGAGATTCTTGGTCAATAGGTAAATTCAAAGTTTAGTAATTTTCCTCTTAGGTGGGAAAATTATTTACCTACTTAGGAGATGGGTATTCTCTTGGATTAGTGATGCCCAGGAAAATAAATTTTCCCTAGGAGATAGGTATTCTTGGTCAATAGGTATTCTCTTTGAAATTCCTGTAATATAGAAAAAAGCCTTTGAAACTTGTATTTATACTCAACATAACAAAAAACAATACGAGTTTTGAAACTTGTATTTATTATATTTGTACTTTTACTGAAATGCAGCTTCAGAGTGACAAATAGACTTATTCATGGATTAGGTAGCCCGACTTGGCCCATCATCTTTGAGCTTGAATGTCATTTTTTAGGCCCATGAGCTTGGCCTCAGTCCAAAAGCACCTGACCAACTTTTTTTGGACTGGGCTTGGGCTTTTTCAAAAAAAAAGGCAGTAGCAATAATATTTTATATAATAAAGAATACATTTTTAAACAATAAAAATGTATTTTATATTATAAAAAATATATTATATTTTTATCGGTTTCTCTTTTCTTTTTCAAGCCATAGTGAGTTGTTAAATATAAAGAAATGAGTTCTATTTTTAGATAAAAATGTAAATAAATTCTTCTTTACAAGTTCCTAGATTGGGCTTTAAGGCTCAGGCCTAAATGTATTATGTGAATAAGGAGGCAAAGCCTAGCCCGGCCTGCCCGTAAACAGGTCTAGTGACAAATGAAGCCCTAATTAACTAGTTGGGGATTTACCAAAAAAAAGAGTTAACAAGCTGTAAATATGAATTTGCCCATCTATTTTTGACTTGTAGATTCCACCTTCTAAAATGCTTACTCTAGAGAGAAACTTGGTTCCGTGGTTAGTGTTGGCTGTTACCACTACTATTGCCTCCTCTGAAAAATCATACAACATCAGAACCCTTGATCATATGTTTCTTGGCTGGTTTCAGTGTGATTTAATTCTTAATCAAGGTTCAAAATGTCATTTAATATCGGCCCGTATCGGTTGATACGTATTATATTGGAAGTATCCCGATATGTCCCTATAGAAGGTGTGTCAGGGTTTTGACCAGTTCAGGGGGTGGAGGAACTTTAAATCAGCCACCTTAAATTGGATTTGAAAAAAAAAAGTAAAAAAATAAAAAAACCGTATCAGTATTGCCCGATACACCACATATCGATATTTAGAACCTTGTGTGTAATACATATTACTGTGGATTGAATTTTTTATATCTTTTTCACTAACAAGAAAATTCTTATCTTAGCAGTCAGCCGTAGAATTTTCCTTCCATCCTTGGTACTTAAAAGGTCACCAGTAGAAAAGTTTTAGAAAACCTTTTAGGAAGAATGATAGTTTATTGTGTGATTTGTTATTTTAACCATTATAAAGGTATTGCGAAAAAATTGAGGGCTTATTATTAGTTGCAAAGGAATGTCGAATCATAGGCAAACCAAGCTGCAGACTGATTGATGAAATTTAGTCATTCTGATATCTTACCTGACCATTTAGTTAAAAAGACAAGACTGTTTCCCAATGCACAAATTCATAGCCCATCCCCTATGTGATTTAGAAACATCTCCCCATGACAAGGCCGGGAGTTCGTAAATCCCTGCAACTGGCTATCCAAGAAGGCCAATGACAAGGAATGACGGCCAACTTCTAATGCCCCCAAGAATCACCACGGCCAAGTTTTGCCAGATGGACAAAAGATGAATGGGGCATGCCCGACTAGAAATATAGTCAAAACTCTGAATATCATCCCACACTCTGAATTGGGGTCTTTCAATCCTAACAAACTTCTAACAAGATCTGTGTCGGTAGGCACATTTCACCGAGTTGAGACCAGCCCCCTACAAGATAGTTTCCCACAATGTCCCACAGCACATCCCTACCATATATTGGGAACATCTTCCTATGCCTCATTATTTCTGATACTTATCATTGAGAAGTGTTTTCAATACACGGCAGGGATGTGCCATGGGATGCTGATATAAACTCCATTTCATCATAAGACTGGAAGTAGAATCCACTATGTATAAAATGTGCAAATACGGATCATGTTCGAACCAAAAGTGTTGGAACTTGGAAGGGTTTTTCATTGAAAGGAGATCCGGACTCCTAATGTCCATTTTCATCCACCTAAGTTGTTGTTCATTTATTTGAAAATAGTGATTTAGAAAGCTTAGGGTAGGTATGCGTTGGATAGTCATCTACGCCATCTCTCCATCTACCAAAGTTGTTATTATTCATTATTTGAGGGCAACCCGCAACGGTAAAGAAAGTTCAGAGTCAATAGTTGGTGCATAATATCAAGGTTTTTAAAATTGAATCTGACAATGAATTGGTCAGGGATTTGATTCCCTGGTTGAATAGTCTAACCATTCAAACTAAATGGATGGTCTGTTCTGACAAAAAAAAACTGGTCAAACCGTTTGAATGATTTGACTATTCGGGTCAACGATTTATTGATTAAATCAATAATTTTTAGGGAAATAACGATTCTGAAATAAAATGAAATTAGTCACCTAACTGATTCCCGATTTTTGTGGTCCGGACCAATTTTGAAAATCATGCATAATATATAGACCTGTCAACCCTTAGATGGCTGATCGATAACTAAGAATTTCAAAACTGAGGCTGTTTGTTAAGTGGATTCTAGTCCACTGGTAGATGACTCATTGTGATCACACATAAATACCGGAAACCAGGTAGATTTGTCCTATTCAAGGTTACAGTTAGTGTCCTAAGAAAATAAGGAAGACCACCGAAGCAGGAAAAGTTTGGCTGCCTAAATTCCACAGCCTGGACTACAGGGCTCAGGCTGCCTTGTGAGGATCCTCACTTATATATATATATATATGTATATATGTATGTTTTAAAAAATATAATTAAATACGTTTGAATATAATTTGATTTAAGATTATAAATTTTAACTATTTTATTTTTAATTTTGAATAAAATAAAAAACAAAAACAAAATAATTGGCATCACAAAAAAATCACAAAGAATGGAAATCCCGGGACAGGTAACCACTCCCTATCCCCGTGTGGACATGCCTTGTGATGTTGTTTTGTTTTCATCCCCCACAGGCCACAGTTGATTAAAACACACGCTATTTGTGCATTCTCTATAATTGAAAAAACATTGAAAGAGATTTTAAAATAGAAATTAGAATATACTCTGTTTTGAAATTTATTATAGCTTATTTGGGAGGGTTGAACCGTTGGTTGACGTGCTTTCACTAAGCTGAATGGGAGATAATAATGTTTTAAAAATCGGAT